AATTACTATGAGCATACCTACTCAATATCAGGGTGAATGTGAGAAATCCTTACTGATGCATATTGAAATACTGAATCCTAACCAGTAAAGGAGTATGGAAAGAAAGAATGAACAAGGAATGACCAGAAGGCACCCCACACTACAGTGACTTCAGAGCAGGGAGTCATCACTACTCACACTTTCTCATAAATCTTGTGGGGATGCTCAGGCCATTGGATCATGCACACAACTCTGTCGGGCATGGTCTCTGTAGTTGAGTAGTAGCCCTGGGGGAAAGCCAGCAGGAAAGCCAGCACCCAGATGACACAGATGACCACCTTGGTGGCTGTGGCCGACAGCCGAGGCTGGAGGGGGTGGATGATTGCCATGTACCTAGAGTAGAGAAGAAAGAAAGAACAAAGTTCAGATTTGCTCACCAAATTCTTCATTAGATAGCATGTGTTTTTCCTGCCAAAGAAAGATTCCTAGAAACGCTTTGACTCCCAGTGATTTTCACAATCACTTCCTGATCCCTTTTTAAATCATATTCTTAAGGTTTCTAAGACTTAGCATCTTAAAATTTGTAAAAAAGTCAACCAGAGTTGTAATATTTTCAAACACATCTAGCAACATTCCTAGAAAGGAAGTTTAATCTTGGAATGCTCACTCTAGGGACATGATTCCTAAGGACAGGTCAGCAGCTTATGATGAAATTAGAAAAATAAGGGCACTGTTTTAAATTTAAGGAGCTCTGGTAGCGTAGTGCCTAAGGCACTTGACTGCTAACCAGAAGGTTGGCAGTTAAAACCCACCAGCCACTCCTTGGAAGGAAGGTTGGGCAATCTACTTTTGTAGTGATACTGCCTCGGAAACCCAAGGAGGGGTCGCTTATGAGTTGGATCTGACTCCATGGCAGTGCATTTGGTTTGGTTTTTATTTTAAATTTATTCAACATAAAGACTATCTTTTATCCTTTTTTTGGATTAAGTAATAATGCTGATACAAAGAGTAGATTCTAATGTCATCACATGACAATATAAAAGACTAGCAATCCTACATGAGTCCACTCAATTTGAGGGAAAGTGAATGTGTGTGTGAGAAAGCAGGGGCCTAAAACCAGTGAAAACAATAACTCCTGGAGAAATCTTCTGGATGCTTTGAGCATTTATAAGTCACTGTGTGGCTCACAACCTATGCTTCCTGAGGAGGAAGCTGGTCCTCACCTGCCAATGCAGACAGACTAGTGCATATCAAAGGCCAGGGTGGGTGGAACCTGCTAGCGGGAATGGCAAAGCAGAGTGAATGAGGATTTTTGGTAAAGAGCCAATTCTCCATTCACTCCCACTTGGGAGCTGGTATTGAATGGTGTCAACTGAATGAGTGTATCCCCATCTTGGGATGTGTGTATAGTCTCTGATTTGTTGCAAAGTTTTTAGGATTAATAAATATTCCAATCAGCCTTTCATACCAGTTACAATCACATCAACTCCACCTCCTCCACTTAAAAAGACATCTTCCTATATGACTTTTTCTTGCAAAGTTTTGGATCCACCCTTAAAATAAGCATCTTTTTTTTTTTTTTTCTAGAGTAGGAATTTTCCTTATACAGTCTTTGAGGTCTAAATATTATCTGAAAAAAACTCAAGTAGTACACATGACCCTCTGACATGCAGGTATTTCTGTCTTCTCTAGAGCAGAATTTATAATGGAGACTGGAGAATTGAGCAGACAAATAGCAGCACAGCTGTCAGTTGGCTCCACATGATCCCACGTAATTCCTTTTCTACCCTCTTTGGACTCCTAGGAGTTCTAGGCCAGAACCAGGCCCAGGGCTATAAGAAAAGCAATTTCATTCAGTATGTGCTCAACAAATTCACCCTGGGCACCTGCTGCATACAGAGCACAGTCGTTCCTTTTGAGCTGGCAGCTTCTAATTTCTCCAGGGAGAAAGGGCACATAAATAAACTGGCATAGAATGTGACCATGGGATGAGTGACCCCAAGTGGTAATCCAGTAAATCCTTTGGAGCCTTAGGGACATTGCAGAAGTGACTGGATAGGAATGGCTGCAACTATTGGAGGGGCTTAAAGAAGTGTGCTCAGTGGATTTGGGGTGAGCCTGCTGACCACTCAGCTCTACTGAAAAGGCAGAATGTCCTCAGAGACCTCTTCCTCCTCCTCCTCCTTACCATTCCCATCCTCTTCCTCCCTCCTTCCCTCCTCTCCACCCTGTCCAGATTATGATTAGATCTGACTTCCTGTCCAGGAAGTTCAATAGATCTGTTTTCACCATGGCTTGCCTAAGAGTCATTTTATTATTCTAAGCTATCATTTAAACTTTAAAATCTTTTTCTGCATTTGCATCATGACTTGCTTGCTGATTGTTAGCTGCCATCAAGTAGCATCTTAGGCATGGTGACCCCATGTGTTTTGGTCCTCAAGTGCTGCTCTAACAGACATACTACAAGTGGATGACTTTAACAAATAGGGATTTATTCCTTTACACTTTAGGAGGCTAGAAGTCTGACTTCAAAGTGCCAGTGTGAGGGGCTGGGTGAAGGCCCCTTGACCTTGGGCTTCAGCTCTGCCTCTTGCTCCTGGCCCATTATAGGTGTCTCTTACTCAGGAAGCTGCTGGCTGCTGAAGCTGATAAACCCATGGTCAAAAAGAAAAAGGACACAATCCCACGATTATCAAGCACCATGGCAGGCCACTAGTTTAAGTCCAGAAAGAGTCCCAAGATTAGCAAGCAACATGGCAGGCTGCTGAATGAAGAGTCAGCTAAATGCAGGATCCAAGTGTGCCAAAAAGTTCAGAGACCTTTCTCAAAGCTTCTCCTTATGTATTGGAAGCAGACCACATCCCTAAGGCAGCTAATCAGTTGCTCACAGCAGATTCCACCATGGAATTGGTTGCCAGTCTCATTGTGGGAAATCAATACACCCAGCTTTCCAGCCACTCAAAACCAGGCCTAGCCAAGCTGACACATAATCTTAACTACCACACCACGTACAACAAAACAAAAGGCTGTCTGGTCCAGGGCCATCCCCACGATCGGTTGCAGATCCGACCACTGTGATCCATAAGGGCTTTCACTTGCTGATTTTGGAAGTAGAATCCCAGGCCTTTTTTCCTAGTTCATCTTATTCTGGTAGCTCTGCTGAAGCCTGTTCAATATCATAGCAACATGCAAGCCTCCACTGACAAGCAGATACTGGTTATGCATTAGGTGCGTTGACCAAGAATCAAACCTCAGTCTCTGGCATGGAAGGCAAGAATTCTAGCAGTGAACAATCGCTAGGACATAGGACCTAGAGTTTCCTTCTCTGGTCTATAAGAGCAATATCACTGAATATGTTCAATGTATTAGGAGGACATCTTACATATATATACACACACACACATATGTATACACACATATGTATACATACATACATATACGTACACACACACACACACACACATATATATATACCTTCATCACTCCTCTGTCAGTTTGTTATACCATGTTGTCTTCTATGTTGCTATGAGGCTGGAGGTTATGCCACCAATCTTTCAAATACCAGTGGGGTCACCCATGGTGGACAGATTTCAGTGGCACTTCCAGACTATGACAGACTCAGAAGAAGAAAGAGGCCATCTAGTTCAAAGTATTGGCCAATGAAAACATTTTGAATAGCAGTGAAACACTGTCTGACATATTACTGGAAAACGTGATGATTAGCCCTGAAACATTGTCTGATATAGTGCCAGAAGATGAGCTCCCTCAGGTCAGAAGGCACTAAAAATAGTGGGCAAGAGTTGCCTCCTCAGAGTAGAGGAATGAAATGCAACACAGAAAAATTGATATCCCTGAAATGGACTGGTTCTGGCCATTTTGAATCAGACAAACATATGACCTACTATGTCAGGAATGACAAATTGAAGAGGAATGTTGTGGCATTCATTGTCACTAAAAATGTTTCAAGATATATCCTGAAATACAATACTGTCAGTGATAGGATAATATCTATATACCTACTAGGAAGACTAGTTAATAGGACTATTATTCAAATTTACCCACCAACTACCAAAGCCAAAGACAAAGAAATTGAAGATTTTACTAACTTTTGCAGGCTGAAATTGTCCAATCATGCATTCAAAATGTTTTGATTATTACTGGTGATGGGAATGCAAAAGCTAGAAACAAAGAAGAATCACCAATAACTGGAAAATATGGCCTTGGTGATAGAAATGATGTTGGAGATCGCATGATAGAATTTTGCAAGACATCAACTTATTCATTACAAATACCTCTTTTCAACAACATAAATGGCAGCTATACATGTGCACTTTGCCAGATGGAGTACACAGGAATCAGAATGACTACATCTGTGGAAAGAAGTGCTGGAGAAGCTCAATATCTTCAGCCAAAAGAAGGCCAGGAGCTGACTGTGGAACAGACCATCAGCTGCTTATATGCAAGTTCAAGTTGAAGCTGAAGACAATTAAAACAAGTCCATGAGATCCAAAATATGACCTTGATTATATCC